CTCGTCCATCAGATGGACGTTAAGACAACTTTCCTAAACGGAGAGCTGGAGGAGGAGATCTATATGGATCAACCAGATGGGTATATACTAAAAGGTCAGGAGGGAATGGTGTGTAAATTGTTGAAATCCTTGTATGGCCTCAAGCAAGCACCTAAGCAATGGCATGAGAAGTTTGACACCACGCTTACATCTGCAGGCTTTGTTGTGAACGAAGCTGACAAATGTGTGTACTATCGCTATGGTGGGGGAGAAGAAGTGATCTTGTGCCTATATGTCGATGACATATTGATCTTTGGGACCAGCCTTAATGTGATTGAGGAGGTCAAGGACTATCTGTCCAAGAGTTTTGAAATGAAGGATTTGGGAGAGGCTGATGTTATTCTTAACATCAAACTACAAAGAGGAGATGAGGGTGGGATTACACTTGTGCAATCCCACTATGTGGACAAGGTTTTGAGTTGGTTTGGATATAGTGACCGCAAGCCAGCTCCTACTCCTTATGATCCCAGCGTGCTATTAAGGAAAAACCGAAAAATAGCAAGGGATCAACTGAGATACTCTCAAATCATTGGTTCATTGATGTACTTGGCTAGTGCAATGAGGCCTGACATCTCATTTGCTGTAAGCAAGCTGAGCCGGTTTGTCTTAAATCCGGGAGATGATCATTGGCAGGCTCTGGAAAGAGTAATGCGCTATATAAAGGGCACTATGAGCTATGGAATTCACTATACCGGGTATCCAAAAGTACTAGAAGGGTATAGTGACTCAAACTGGATATCTGATGCTGATGAGATAAAAGCCACAAGTGGATATGTGTTCACACTTGGAGGGGGCGCTGTTTCCTGCAAGTCTTGCAAGCAGACCATCTTAACGAGGTCAGCAATGAAAGCAGAACTTACAGCACTAGATACTGCGACAGTTGAGGCCGAGTGGCTTCGTGAACTCCTGATGGATTTGCCGGTGGTTGAAAAACCAGTGCCAGCTATCCTAATGAACTGTGATAATCAAACAGTGATTATTAAAGTGAACAGTTCAAAGGACAACATGAAGTCATCTAGGCACATCAAGAGAAGACTGAAATCTGTCAGAAAGCAGAAAAACTCCGAAGTGATAGCATTGGACTATGTCCAAACGGCTAGAAATCTGACAGATCAGTTTACTAAGGGGCTACCACGTAATGTGATAGACAGTGCATCGAGGGAAATGGGCTTGATACCCACCTAAGGTTGCACAATAGTGGAAACCTGTCCATTGTGATCGGAGATCCTGTGAATTTGGATGGCGAAACAAACTATTGTGTGACTGAGAGAAGAGACCCTTGAAAAGGGCTCATTTCCATGATGTGCTTCTCTTCTTTCCTGCATGGTAGGATGGCTCATGCCTTAATGTGATCCGAGTGGCTTCTCCAAGCAGAGATGTTGACCTGCAGAACATCTCAGAAGGAACACACCTATATGAGTTCGACTGCTAGTCACAGTCTATGAGGTTTGGGCGATCTCTAGATACTCATGAAAGGCCTGGAGTTTGACTTATATGCTCCAAACAGAGGGGATGCGAACGGCAGCCCAGTACCAGTCAAGGTTCTGAGTGAAACCTGATCACACAAAACTGACAATTCAAGGCATAGTCCATTGTTCAGTTGTGGTCTGATGTAGCTCATTTCCTAGGTGGAAGTTCAACTTAACAGTCTCCACCAAAACCCTGGTATATCAAACAGGCACAACATTGAGAACATTTCTTATGAGCCTTGAAACTTGGTGGGGATTGTTAGAATAATTGGGGTAGGCCCAACTTATCCTATTAAATCTCAAAGGCCCATAATAAGTGTTAAGGATAATAATACCACCTCAGGATTTAAGCGAGGAATATCTCAACCTAAATAGGGAGTTATTGGAGGCCCCCTGTTGACTGGTTGAGGTGGGGGTCGGAATGCCACACGCGCGCGCGCGCGCCGGGCCGAGGCCGTGGGCGTGGGCGTGGGCGAGGCGTGGCTGGCTGGCGGCGGCGTGCGTGCGTCACGTCGCTATTCTTTTGCAGCCACTAACCACGTTCCCACGATTCTCTCCGCAACAGCGCGTCCACGTTCCCACGACTGCCTCTCTCTCCTGATAGATAAGGAGGCCGCGAGTCCGATCTATTCCGGATGCTTGCTTCTTTCCCGATGTTAGTTCCTCCTCCTCCGCGCCAGTGCTGTTATCGCTTCCTCGCTTCTGATCTCTTGCGCGCACGAGAGATTGGAAGGAGCAATGCCTCCGAAACCACATCTTCGCCTGAGATCTGCACCGGGTAGGCGGGTGATCAGGTTTTTGGGGAGTGCCTCCTGCACGACTGCTCGCCGTGTCTGGAGTTGCCGCCGCCGCTGCTGGAGGAGATGGCAGAGGTGGTGCGCCGCCAAGAGCTGGAGCCGAAGGTGGTGCGCCAGGAGCTGGAGCCGGTGCCGCGAACGACAACATCAACGGAGGCAATTCTGCCTCACAATCCAGCGGAGGGCCATTCTCGGGGTATATCCTTCTCCTATTCCCTTTGTTAGCGCTATCGCTTTACTGTTATGTGCTCTATGTTCCTGTTCCTGACATTCATGATGCCTCTAGCATGTTATTGCGTTACTGTAATGTTCCTGTTCCTGACATTCATGATGCGCATGGTATGCTACTGGTTATGTTAAGATCACCCTACACCGCTTATGCCATGATTATTGCTTTAACATTTTGGATTAAAATATGCCGATTCATGACTATATTTCCAACAGTGTTTATTACTCTTGGAGGTTGAGGACTCCTAGACGGCTAGGTGTCGTTCTTGGGCCACCGATCTACGTGTGGTTGGCCAAGAGAAGTTTGTGAAGGCCGGATCTCGCCTCCGCAAGGAAAGAGATACCCTTAGTGGAAGGATGAGTGCATTTGTGCAACATCACGAGGATAGGGTTGAAAAAGACCTGGCTCTTTGCGAGCCCCTCAACGGAGACTAGAATCCCCTCAAGGATTTGAACTCCGGGAAATACATCGGCGCATAAACCTCGGTGATATCCTCACTCTCTTTACCTTCTTGTTGCATTGCTTTGTGCCATGCTAATATTGTTGTTGGTTGAGCTCACCTCTTTGCTTGTGGATTGAATTTAGATCTCTTAGGGTGTTATCTTGTTTGTATTGTTGTTGTGCAGGTCAGATAGTCTGATCTCAGTTCAGACTATCCGATCACATAGAACTATCCGACCTGATATCAGACAATCCGACCCTGTTTTGTTTTAGCTTCCGCATTTATTTTAAAAATCACCTATTCACCCCCCTCTAGGCGACATCAAGGTCCTTTCAGTTATAATAGTTAACATTTAATTAATCGTGTGCTACTGAGCTTTATCGTTTCGGTTTTTAAAATTTTTCCTCCAAAAGTTTGCAAAGAACGTAGCCCAAGTAGCAACCAAACTACCCTCTTTATACCTAATAGCGTGCCAGAGTGGTTCAAACAACCAAATCAAACAACCAAATAACCCTTTAGTGGTGCCTGTGACTATGAGTCCAATTTAATGCTAGCATGGTTAGAGTTTTACCGCCATCGTGTTTGCAACTAAGGATCAACACTGTATTAATAACACCAAGATCATACATCTTAGATACTGTTATCATATCCATCTCACAATATTATTTTTATTGGTGTGCTGCTATAAAATTAAGCTATAAAATTTAAATTTTGGCAATGGTTTATAAATTAGGGCATTTGTAAATTTGCCACCGTTTTTTTTAATCTTGTAAAGTTGCTAATTGAATAACAGTTATAGTTGCATTTTTATAATTTTTTAGTGTCAGTCTTTGCAATTGCCCTTAGAGGAAGTATAATAGTGAGCTATAAATCTACTATAAGCTTAGGTAGAGGTGACAGATAATAAAAAATCAAGGATGTTGGCTTTCATGCAAGAGCTAGTTTAACACAAGCTCCTAAGTAAATATATTAAATGTATAGGTGAGAGATAGAGAGAAGAAGAAAGTTGTAGCCAACCTTATAGTTAATACATTATATATGTTGGCTTTAAGATGGAATAATAGTAGGAAGTGGACTCTACTGTATTATTCTTGCTCTTAGTAAATTCTACTCCACTGGGTCGAAGATGGGGAGCGTTTGCCTATTGGCACGACGGGGAAATGCTTTTTAACTGCGTGTGCAAGGGGACGGTTCTGTTAGCACCATAACCTCGTGGTTAAATCACGTGGTTTAAACGTTTTAGCCGTACCTTCCCGCAATAGAAATACCAACCGTCCACGGACACGTTGTTTGACAACACAGCATGCCCAAACTCCAAAACCACGCCTCCCACTGACATAGTACCGACCAGCCTACTACGTCCAATATGTCCCACCTGTCAGCGACCTGTCCCGAGAAGCGTGCGCGCCAGGGAAAAACATCATCCGACGCGATTGATCTATCTCCCCTCGTCGCGCCACGACGCGATCCACCTGCCCGATCCCGAGGCTCTCGAGCTCGACCCCGACAGGACAGGGCCCACACGCTCCCCCCTTTCCCCCGCCGTCCACGTGTTCCGCCGCCCGCACACGCGGCGTCCCGTCCAGTGCGCCCGATCGGGGTCAGCCCGCCACGCTCCCCCCCCAGAACATACGCACCCACTGTAACGTGGGCCCCGCGGTCGCCTGGTCCCACATGTCAGTAATGCGGCGCGAGCGCGTGTAGAGCACTAGAGCCCAGTCCAGCGTGCGGATTGGGTGCGTGCGTGCGTAATCCGGGGTCGATCCGGAGAGGCGAGCCGCCGACCAATCACGAGCGGAGGATCCCGCAACCGTGTACCTTCCTCTCCTCCCCCTTCTCCCTCCCGTCCCGCCTCACGCGCTGACAGGTGGGCCCCACGCCCGCGGGGGGAGGGCGGGGCCCACCCGCCAGCGTCGAGCCGTGGCATACCAGGCTCGCGCGGGCGAAATCCCGCTTCTGCCCCCCGCGCTTCCCCGTCTTCCTCCTCCTCCTCTTCCTATAAATGCACCTACCCCTCGGCGCCGGGTTGCTTCCTCTCCCTTTCTTTTCCATTTCCTCCTCTCCTCTTCCCCCCTTTGGCTTGGGGCTTGGCTTGGCGCCTCCTCCAATCGAGCAGGTTTCCCCAAATCTTAGGGTTAGGGTTTCGTCTATTCGTTGCCTTCCTCGCCGGATTAGCGCGTCCAGGGAGGGTGAGCGGGGTGTGCTTGGTCGCGTCGCGTCGTGCCGTGCCGTGCCGCGCGTGGGATGATGGGCACCGCCGTGGAGCTCGGCCGGAGGCACGGCGGCGACCACCGCTTCTACGACGCATCCAGGGTCCGGCGAGGGTACCACCACCACGGGCTCCCCAAGGCGAGGTGGGCCCCCGCCGTCCACCAGGAGAAGGCGGCCGAGGAGCCGTCCCCGTCGCCGGCGAGGGCGCCGGTCCCGCCCCCCGGCGTCGCGGGCAACCTTGAGCGGTTCGTGGCCGCCGTGACGCCGTTCGTGCCTGCTCAGTTCCCCTCCAAGGTTCGCCCTGCCCTTTGACTTCCTCGCGTGGTAGGGTTAGATCGTAGTAATTACTTGCGGCAGTGCGACCATTTCTGAATCGGCGGTGGATTTGGGATGCAGATGCAGAGAGCCGCGAGGGGGTGGCGGGGCTGCGGCGTGGATGCCGAGCGGGAGGAGGCCCCGCACTTCTTCCTCAGAGACGTGTGGGAGGCGTACAGGGAGTGGAGTGCGTACGGTGCCGGTGTGCCGCTTGTCCTCGATGGCTGCGACGGGGTCGTGCAGTATTACGTGCCGTACTTGTCCGCCATCCAGCTCTATGGAGACCCCGCAGTCCTGCGACTGTCTTCTGGCCCTAGGTAATTGTGATTTCTTCTAATCATGCTCAGGCACGCTATTGATCTGATTTGGAAGTATAATCCTGAAACCCACTTGACTTTTATTATAATTAATATATGGTGTGCATTGTTACATTTACAAAAGAGCAACGATCATTTCTAATATGTGTTTTTGTAGAACAATGTTTCATACATTTCTAGTTGCCAGTAATACCTGACTGTTTGCTGTCACACATGTCGTTAGGAAGCACTTATCGGGTTAATGATCCCATGGTAGTGAATGTTTACCTCATGAAGCTATTAGTTGTCCATTTGCATAAAATGGATGGCCCAGAGAATTTTAGCATGAAATTCCACACTTGTTTTATTCTGGCGTCTTGTGTTTACCAAAACAATCAGGAGGTTTTAATCCGGTGCAGTGTGTTCTATGACATTCCAACTTTACAATTTGTAGTGATTGTATAGACTCGAAGGTAGTGAAGTTCAATCAGATGTGACTTAATCGTGAGATGTTGTCGTTATGATTCTGGATTTGGAATGATATATAATAATATTATTTCTCATTGTCAAAACTAGCTTGTGATGTTGTGACAGATCAATGTTTGCAACTTTAACTTGTGCATGGGAACGACCTTAACCATTTCGTTAAAGTTTCATACGTCCATACATTCCATCCTTTTATGTTCGTTTCCTTTTTGTTCATTAAACCTTTAACGTGACATTAATATTGTGTTTGTAGAGAAATTTCCCCAAAACACAATTTAGCCTCTCCATTGATCTTGTCTTTGAACAGTATTTGTTATGTTCATTTAGATTAGCAGTTCACTAAAATGATTGTGTTTGAATTCCATAATGCCATGAAAAATAATGAGCTTCGGTTACTTCTTAATGTGCGTTATAGCTCTAGTTGCTCATGATTTTTTACATATTCCCACATGCATCATGCAGGCAAGCTTTTGCTTCCCTTTACTAATTTATTAACTATCATTATGTTTCTAACGAATTCTAGTATGAGGTGTTATAGAAACCACTTAGTCTGTTCAGTAAGATATAACTTTAAGATATAACTTGGTCCACTTGATTTGTGCAATATCTAATTTTGTGGTTATGTTTGGATGAAAATTTTGAAGCAGACATATAATGGATGACAGTGATGGGGAGTATCATGATTCCAGCAGTGATGCAAGTAGTGATTATGAACTTGGAAGAGTAAAACATCTAACTCAGGAAGGCTTCTCAAGTGATGATGGTGAATCAGGAGATTTGCATGGCCGCTTGCTCTTTCAATACCTTGAGTTTGATTCTCCATTTTGTCGTGAACCATTGACTGATAAGGCAAGAGTTAACTAAGACGGTTCTATAATATTCTATTGCATATAAATATTCTGACCTTATTTGTTCTTTCAGATTTCCAGTCTTTCAGCAAGATTTCCAGGACTGAGGACCCTTAGAAGCTGTGATTTATCACCGCGAAGTTGGATATCTGTTGCTTGGTGAGTTCTTTTTCCATTGGCATGGTAGCAGACTAGCAGTTATAGAGTATGGTAGTAACTAGTTACTGAGTTGCCTACAACATCATGCAGGTATCCAATTTACCGTATCCCTACTGGCCCAACATTAAAAGATTTGGATGCATGCTTTCTCACCTTCCATCGGCTATCAACTGGGCCAGAAGAAGGTATGATCGTTCTGATTTCCAAAACAAACAGATATGCTTCCACCTGTCTGCTGTTCTTTCATTCGGTTATCTTCTGTAGTCTGATTTAGCACACGTCTAGGGGGCACAAATGTTTTTGAAATACAATAAAGTTGTACAACAACTTAAGTATGTGTTATGTCTTCTGTGTACCTGCTCTGTGTTGGCTCGAGAATATGAGCTCAAAAGGCCTTTCCGATAGTATTTTTTATTTGTTTAGTTTGAAATGATCAAATGCATGCAATTGACAATCTCTTTTTCCTGGTGCTGATGTTTAGAAGGATTTAACAACTGCCAGTTGCATCCAAAATCTATTTAGAAAAGATTGGCATAGTTAGGGAGCACATGTTCTATAATTCTGAGATATCATTTCAGTGATAGTTCTGTTTTTACTGCTTGGCGCATTACTCCTGCATGCGGATTCTGCCACATTTAAAGATAAAAAATACTTTCATAAAACTGAAGAAATTAATGAATGACAGTTGGTCGTTGGCACTTATTTTATTTTGTTAGTTTGATTCTTTTTTATCTAATTCTGTGGCTGCACGCTGCTTGTTTAAACACTATGGAATCACTTATTGCTTGCTTGTGTTGTGATCTCAAGTTTTTATGCTCTCTTGGCCAGATAACGGTGGTGCTGTAAAATACTGGGGTCCTGGTAGCAAACCGACTATACCACTATCTGTTTTTGGTATGGCTTCTTACAAGTTCAGCAATTCAATATGGTCTTCGACTGATGGAGATCGGCAGCTGGCAAGCTTCTTGCAGCAAGCTGCTTCTGACTGGCTGCGGGATAGTCGTACCAGCCATCCAGACTACCAGTTTTTTGCTTCCCGTGGTGCATACAACAGGTAGTGGCACGGAGTCTACGCCTTGGCAGAATTTGCAGCAGAATGTCTGGAAGGTTTCAGCTGTAAATACACCGAAGGGGGAGGTGAATGGCTGATAGCTTTCACACATGCATGCGGAGAGACGGTGTGAGCTCCCATAGTAGGATGCAAGCAGTGTTCTGCTTTGTAAATGGCGGTAATAGGGGAGGGTTTGATCGGCTGTGTTTTTATGCTTAATAGTCGGTGATCCTCCTGAGGGAAGTTGAGATGAAAAGTGAAAAAAAAAGCAAAAAAGGACTGAAGAAAAAGGCAGTAAAAAGATTAGCTGTGCTTGTTTGTTGAGCTATGCATGCATGTCGGGTTGTTGGACTTGTTGAGGCTACTTATGTAATCCTACGAATACGGGGGATGAGTTTTGATGATATTCCCCTTAATGTCTGTAAACACTTGTGAAGAGCCTGTCTGACACTACAGACTGTTGTGTTTGAAGGGAACTTGTAGTTAGCAAATTAGAGTCATCCGCATCGTTTGTTCTATAGAATATAATGTTGATACTAATCATGTCTAGACTTGCAATGCACAAATTAAGAGCTGCTGATGCGTGTAAACAGTCTGATGTTCATTAGTCAAATTACCTTAAAAATGCCGGTGTCCAAACTTCTCTTACAAGTGCATCAGCTCTGTTAGTAAATACTCCCGTTCTTTAATATAAGGATTTTAATATTTTGTTCTTTAATATAAGGATTTTGATACTTTGTTTGCACTGTTTGATCATTTGTCAAATTAAAAAAAAAGAAATCATTATTTATTTTATTTATGATTTACTTATTATCTAAAGTACTTTAAGCATAATTTTTTGTTTTTTATATTTGCATAAATTTTTTTAATAAGACGAGTAGTCAAGTAAAATATCAAATTCTTCCCCTTATTCTTTAAAAAAACTAATAGAAAGCTTAGGAAAGTTTAAGCAAAGAAGTAGACAGTTTTCTTTTAAGTAAATTGCATTGGTCATACATAAACTTGGTATATACGTGTAATTTAATATACAAATTTATAAAATAGTCGTTTCAGTACACTTACTTGTTTAGTTCTTGCGAATGAGAATCAAAATAACCTGGCAATATTAATTTATGTTAATTTTATGAAGCTGATGTTGATTAGGAATGTGACGTGCATACGTGTATAAAACATGTAATATTTATAAATCTGGTCTCTAGTGAATTTCATATATTTTTAACCCTTATATCATTGCTCGGTTTTTTTTAACCTTTTTTAACTATCACTATATCCTATTCTATTTTTTTTTATGAAAATGTGTATATCTAATATCAACCTTATCAAATTTATGTTTACATAGTATCCTAGTCAACCCCTAAGTCAATAAGATTAGCCATGTAGTGTCCTTTTCGCTTTTCTTCACACGCACCGGATAAGTTCATACATCAAAACGAGCATTTTACAAGTTCGTGCACTAGATTACACCCACTTAATAAGTTCATGTACCGATGATGCAATTTACTTTTTTTAATAAGGGGCGTTTTTAATAAGCAAGTTTTTAATAAGAAAGGAAGTATTTTAAAAGATGTATATTCATGACAACAATGTATAAATGAAACGAAGGTAGAGTTATGTAGCACATGGAGTACTTTGATGCTTGGTTGGATGGAGCCTTTAAAGTTTGAAGTGTTTGCTAGGTGGATATAGGGTTGCAAGCGGGCCGACCCGTGAGTTCACTTATAGATCAAACTAGTTGATACCCCGCGCGTTACTGCGGGCATAGAAGTATAATTATCAATGTGCAACATTAGTGCAAACAATCTAATTAAGTTTGCTTATAATTTGCTGAGAATCTCTTAATGATAGTTCTGTTCCCAGCAATGTATGATAGTATATGAAATCTTCATCTGCTGGCCAAAACTTCAAAATAGAGAAACAATAGTATACAGTAAAGATCTGATTGGTTGTGAACGTTTAGAATGAAAGAAACAAAAGACTGAAAAATTATATATTTATTAGGCATCATTACTATAATTCATAAAATTGTATGCTTCCAGATCATGGATTGCTGCATACCTTAGCAAAAATAAACCTTCACCTAATGTGGATGGTTCAAAATCTAAAAGATGACCCAATTATATATATGAGCATTGAGGGAAGCATCAAGCATACATAGGAGTTGGGCACTTGACATCCGGATCACTCATAGTATTTGTTAAGAGATTACCAACAAAATAATTCCATTTAATCAATTGAAAAGCGAATGGGATCATGGCACCTGAAAGCTTAACTTTCTATATGCCCTCAGTCTGTCTGAAATATCATAGCTCAAATTGTATACCACCTTACCAACTGCATATATGACATGAAACAAAAGCAGTTACAAATTAGATGGAATAGCATAAAACAAATATGTGCAGATTGATCTGGCTCTAGCTTTAGAAATACAATTACATATTACATATATTTGAGCTATCCAATTTTAAGAGTTTTTCAGCTCATCTGCAACAGAAAAAGATCTAAAGTATAAAACCCGTCACAGATTTTTTTTTCTTTTTAATGAACTGGCACCGGTGTGTCAATTTCATTGAATATAGTGGAAAAAAAGAAGGCAAAAATTACACGAAACCCATCATCCGGAAAATAAGTTGCAACTTGTTGATATGAGTATTCTATTAATCCTATTAAGCCCTAGGCCGGGATGTTACACCCTCACCCTCTTAAGAGAGATCGACGCCCCCGTCGATCAACCCCAGGCCAGGAACGTCCCCTCTTGGCCATGTCCGTGTGTCCAGTGCCAGCGCATGTGCCATGCTGTGACCACTCCAGGTCCACAACAGCCATGCGCACCATGCCTGCGCAACTGCGACATACGCGCCCGGCTCTGATACCATTTTGTAACGTCCCGCCTCTCCCAGGCTTTTATAGGTCATAGACTGCCCTCACAGGGCAACACAAGTCTTTTCGGCGCACTTTGTGCTTACTCATGTGCACTCGGGAAGAATTTCCCGATCGGTCACCCATCCCTAAATTGCTCTAGGCCAAGCACGCTTAACCTCGGAGTTCTTTAGAGATCAGCTTCCGGAAAAGAAGTTGCAACCTGTTGATATGAGTATTCTATTAATCCTATTAAGCCCTAGGCCGGGATGTTACATTAATCAAAAATAGAAATATTTAATATGGGATATTTTCAAAAAGCTTATATGAAATGGAGAAAAACAGCCAGACCTAAAATCTTAGCCAAAGAACAATATATTTTGGATCCACAGATGGCCTTCACCTGAAATCCTGTTAATTAGAACTCTGGAGTAAATGATGCATGCAGAGAATTAGAGACTGAAGGTTGCAAAGTCAAGGTCTTAGTGTAGCATCTATTAACTTGTCACGAATGCTTAGAATTTTAGGAGCGGATGATTCGATGGCTGCTTACCACCTCAATTTACTGGCAGTGCAGCTTTAAAGCCCATGAAAGTGGACTGGGATAGGAGATAATTAACAGAAACATGAGACATATCAGAGATGATGTAAAAATCTCTATGTAGAGGAACACAACAACTGCTTTGTTTGGTGCCTACACATTGCAATGTATATCAACATCAACCAATCAGATATGGGAACAAAGTATCATCGAAGAAGGTCAGCTACATGGGTATCATCAAAGAACTTAATAACTTCCTGGACCTGGTTGGCGCTATATATCGTTGACGCGGGCGATAAGATGAGGGTGAGAGAGACATCGAGCAGTGCCGCCTCCCAATCTCCCATCCATGCGCTAAACTGATGAGGCTAGCTAGGACAGCTAGCTGCTGATAGAAACGTATGTTGCCAGCAGCTAGATCAACGATGATATCGCAGAGATTAGTGGTGGAATAAAAACATGCATTAGGTGAAAGGAGCATAAAAAGGAATTAAACATGGTATTAAAATTTAAACATAGCCCCTCGGCTTCCCTTTGATGGCGACGGTTTCATTGACGGACAATACGATTATTATTGAATCGGTTTCATACAAAAAAAATCATAGAAGAAGAGATCATGCCTGGTCGATGGGGGGAGACGGTGGATGCTATTCATGGTGAGCTGAAGAGTGAAGAGGATGCACGACGCTCCACCTCGCCGCGCGCTGTCCTTACCACCACCTGCGTGTGACCGCGCCGCACTACGCCGCCGCCGCCGCCGCTCCGACTCAGGAAGTCAGGAGGATGAGACCCACCGAACCCTAAATCCTTCATTGGGCTGCGATAGACTAACATGGGTCTCCTGGGCTGCGGTAGATTGACATGGGCCTCCTGTGGTGGAAGAAATATATAGGCCTCACGTGTTGTGTTCAATCCGACGGTTCAGATGAGATCTAATATACCGATCCAACGGTTGTGAATTAATGATGACGTGGAACATTGAGGTGTGAGTTTTAGGAGATTAATTGCACTTAGTGGAGGATAACTTTATAGGAAGAAGGGATAAATGATAATTTATGGGTTTTCACGTCGTGCTTCGGTTTACCGCATCTAGATATACAAGTGGGTCGATCCATAAACCCATTTAGAGCAAGTTTAATAGGATAGCCAACTACGAGCTCCAATTCATCTATAGCCAATTTAATAGTCGATTCGTATAATAGTTGTTTACTATACTATTAATACCTGGTCCTATCTGTCATACACACGTTACGTCTTGGAGTCCGTGCTACAGCTGGCTACAGATCTGTAACCCGCTGCTCTTCTCTCTCCTATTTTATCTATTTAAAATATGTTTATAGCTGGCTTAGGGCATCACCAATGTATATGGCAAAGTGATCCATATAGATAGGACCCATATAAATAGTTTTTACCTATGGCAATCTCCACAATGTATATGGATATAATGTATCACTAGGAGAAGAGAGATGAGTAGAGATAGATAATATAATTTATTCCATATGGGTAGTCCATATGCATATGGATACCTTTTGTTATTTTTTCTATATATGGACTAGTTGCACAATGGTTATAGGTGGCTGAATGGAGGACCTCATCGGTTTGCTGTTGCTGAGGCTGATCTTCAGCACAAGCCCATCAGTTAGCTTATTGGGGCTGAATAAACACCAGCTATTAGTAGTGGATCCGATCTTACTGGACACCTTTTTACGGCTGATTATGCTGAACTGAAAAAGCCAACTTTGGCTGATCAACCAAAGCTGTAGGGTTACCGATGAGGACCGGAATATTCTATTGCTTATGGACTACTTTTACACTACATTGTGGATGCCCTTATAGCCTGCTATTGTACCTGCTATTCTCTCTCCTATTTTATCTCTTTAAAATATGTTTATAGCTGGTTTATAGCCTGCTATTGTACCTGCTCTTATAGATCAAATTAATAGGTAACCCGCTGGTCAAATCCGCGGGTTACGTACTAATTTTGGTTATAAGTGGGTTCGCGGACAAGCCCACTTACACCTCTAGGTGGATAGCTGTGGTACCTTAATACATGGGTGGTGTATAGGATGCGGGATTTTTTTTCTTCTAAGCTTTCCTTCATAGCAAGGTTTAAATTAAGGGCCCCTTTGAATCGCAGGATTGAGAAAACGTAGGAATAGGAAAAACGTAGGATTTTGATAGGAATGTAAGTGTAAAACAGAGGATTGCAAAACACAGGAAAAACATAGGAATGGCCGTTTGATTGAACCACAGGAAAAACACAGGAATTGGATGAGAGAGATAGACTCGAAGGAAAGTTAGCAAGAGGTTGAAGCTCTTGCTAAATTTCCTCCAAAATCTCTATAGGATTGTCCATTCCATAGGAATTTCAAAGGATTGGATAGGATTCAATCATTTGTTTCAAAGGGCTTCATAGGAAATTTTCCTATAGGATTGAAATCCTCTAAAATTCCTATGTTTTTCCTCCAAATCAAAGGGGCCCTAAAATCTGGAATGACCCGACATTTGAAATCCTCTAAAATTCCTATGTTTTTCCTCCAAATCAAAGGGGCCCTAAAATCTGGAATGACCCGACGTTTTCCTTACTCAAAACTGGCAGCGCTAAAACCAGCCTCGAGTCGACGGCTGAAGATTGGTTAGAAAGTGGGGTCCATCTGCAGAGTATATTTTCTTTTGAGATATCTGCAGAGTATCTGTGGATGTATACAAACAGGCTCTTTATGCCGACTGAGGCGCTGTTTGGAACTAAGGAATAGAATAGGAAATGAATGGATGTGCAATTGCGAAACAGAGGAACCATGAAAATTATAGGTTTGTGGTGTTTGGAACACAGTAACAGCAAACAATAAGGGCCCCTTTGAATCGCAGGGTTGAAAACAATAGAGGAATGTGAAAAACACACGATTCTGACATAAATTAAAGTGTTAAACAAAGGATTGCAAAACACATAAAAACATATGAATGATCGTTTGATTGGACAGCAGGAAAAACACAGGAATTGGATGAGAGAGATAGGCTCAAAGAAAATTTTCCAAGAGGTTGAACCTCTTGCTAAGTTTCTTTCAAAATCCACATGCAATGTGTCATTCCATAAGAATTTCATAGGATTCGGAAAGTTTCGATCATTTGAATCAAAGGGCCAAATAGAAAAAATCCCTATAGGATTTGAATCCTATAAAATTCCTACATAAATCATTTGATTCAAAGGGCCCTAAAACTTTTCTCTTCCTCAATGCTCTCTTGGCCAATAGATTGCATTCAAAGGAAAACTTCCTTTAGCTTGGAGCAGATGTTTTATTTTCTCCAAAAAAAATAGTACTCCATTTCAAAGGATAGGGGAAAATGTCATAGGAATTGGTTTGCTCCAATCCTCCATTCCAAACGGCATGTGAAGTGCTCAAAACAAAGGATTCACAATTCCTGTACTTTTCCTTGGTTTTCCTCCAATCCAAACAGGCCCTGAAAGGGAAACCATAGCCCTGTGGACTTTGTGGAGTGTTATGAACTGTGATGATTCTCTACTAGTCTGACTGGACACGCATAAAGCAGGAAAAGGATAATGTGGTACCAATTTTGGACGTTGAAGAAAATCCATCATAACCGATAAACAATTCACACGCATGCCATCAGAGTATGTAGATCTCAATTTTCAAAACGAACACTCAACATCAACAACTTTGTGCAGTTCAACAGATGTAATGCAGCATTGTTCAATGTACAACAGGAACAAGGGAATGTTTGTGATAGAAAAGTCTTAGCATATTCCTCAAGGAACACTAGACCTCTTAATGTAGTAATAAATCAAATAGCACACTGATACCAGTAAGCGTACCAAAGTTACCCAGAAGATATGACATTAACCGTATTTAGGATCGGTATAACCTGCAAGGGAAAACCACAGTATAACATTGGAAATAAGAGGACTGTAAAGAATGGTAGGCAAGGGCATGTGTGTCTAAATATAAGAAGGGCCTAAAAAATCAGATGGAAAAGCAAAACAGAATTGGATGTTCAGTTTGTTCTGACAACACATAACCAACGTAAATGATGATGAAAAATTTTCCATCTTCAAAAAAACTACATATCAGATCATTCTAGCAGCCCTTAATTAATCATTGCCTGACCCTATTACATGTAAAACTACAAAATGATATGCCTCAAATCTAAAGCTTCTTATGTGTATTAACAAAAAACATTGCCAGGAAACTTTTCAAATCCAGTAGTTATTGTTAACTATATGAATTGTTAACCAGAAAATCTATAATGGAACTTATAATACAGGTGAGTAAGCTATGGACAAAACTGAACATTATTGCGCGCCCACAAAAATGGTACATGTGGCATAACAAAGACATATATAGGGAATTACCTCTAAAAGTATCATATCAATGTTTTGACATATTGATCAAGGTGCTTATTGAAAAGCTCGCACCTGCTTAAGAAAGGTTTGAAAAGTTAGTCAGTTAAGGTAAACAAAGAAAAAATTGATTGAAAGCCACTATAAGAAAAGTTTGTCAACCTGACATAGTTTTTTATGTATATTATTACCATACTATTAAAGTTTTATTTAGTCACAAGAAAACTAAAAGGATACTTAAAAGTTATGGAAGAAATTGAGTGTTTGGATTGTAGCCGATATCTTGGGATAGCAAAATTTTGGAAAGGTTGGCTCAAGCATAAACGAAACAAAAGTTTACAAGCTACCAATACCAAATTAGGATTATTTAACGAAAATGTTCACTATTGTGCAAATAAATCAATAGAATGGTATCCTGATAGGAATGACTGCCACAAGTAATCTACTCCCTCCGTTTCACAATGTAAGTCATTCTAACATTTTCCACATTTATATTGATTTTAATGAATCTAGACATATATATCTATTTAGATTCATTAACTTTAATATGAATGTGGAAAATGCTAGAATGACTTATATTGTAAAACGGAGGAAGTACCTCATATCTACATCTGCATGAAATTCCTAATATAATGGGTAGAAGGACAAAGTAATGCCTACCTTGCATGAATTTTCTCTTGAAAGAAAGAATCTACATTAATGCATTTTGTTTTCTGATGAGATAATCCTGATAGCTATATCTAATGCTGTTATGAACCGAAGGGTGAAGCAAATTTTCATTCGCAGGGAAAGCTTACTTGATTGGTGTGCCAGGAGCGTACAAAGGATTTTTTACAACATATTCCACATATAGGTTGTAGATATGCTTCAGCGTGTCACGTTGATCACCAGTCCTTGGATGTGTAATTAGAATAAGCTACACATAATGGTAGTGTCAGTGAATGATATGTTTTGGAACAAATGGTATTAAACAACATTCTGTTCCAGCAAAGATAAAATCATGCCATATTAAGAATGGAAAACTGGAAGGCAGGAGATGAAACAAATTGACTAACCTTGATACCAGAAGGGCTCTCTAGGAAGTTCAATTTGTATGTGTTTGTCTTGAAGCTGTAAAATGAGCAACCCTGGCCCGGCAGTAGTGGCACCCCAAGATTCCCCTTTTCTGCTCTGCATAGTGATGTGCAGAGTGATCATGAGAACACTGATAACATTTTAAGCTCAATTTAGATTCACCTAATTCATCAAAATGGTAACAATCTCGTGGGCATGAAAAGGAGAGCAGTTAGAAAATCTAGGAAAGGGCGACGAAAGTGTAGAACAGTGTGCTGGGAATGAAGATAAAACACACCAAAAGTTGTAATGACGATATAAGAATTTTCTATTGTTCAATTTTAAAAACTTACACATTTCCTCCTCTGCTTTTAGTGATTAACATGTTGAGTACCTGGGGTGTTAGTATTGAGATTCTATATTTATATGAAGAGGTGACAGATCAGAGGTCAGACCCTTCTTTATTTTTCCATCTTAAACTCCTGCTTTGGAGAAGAGGTAGAGTTCAACTCCTGGTATTGTGGCGATTATTGATCCAAATACCAGTTGTAAAATTGAAGTGATGAACTATTCCCAATCTTAAATCGATTTCGGCGGACCATCCTTGCGCAAGGGATCCCTTGCTTAATTTTCTACTGCAAAGCCTGAAATCTCTGCCAAATTGGCCGCGGATAACTGTGAATTACTCCCACTGACCCAATTTAGTGAGTGAAACAACAATTTATAGTTCATTCATTTGACTCATTTTTCAAGCAACAAGAAACAGGTGGTTTGCACTGA